CTTGTTCCCAGGAGACTTGTGGTGGAGAGCGGCAGGAAAGAAGAGCCCCCCCCGGGTGGACATACAAACTTGACCAATCAGAAGAAAGGGAAAGGGAGGATCCAGTGCCCATATAAGACTCTGCAACCAGGCCTGGTTCAGTGGACTCCCAACTCTGGGAGTCCTCCCTTTCTAAAAGGAAGCTGTCTGCTTACTTCAGTAAAGCTGTCTCTTGCTTTTTTTCATGTTTTGATTTTCTGTCTCTCCCAGACAGTCAATCCCATGCCTGTTTCATGAATCTTGGCTATTCCCACAATGATCATGCCAACCCATTACACTTTGGTTCATCTGGCCTCCTACAAAAGTTCATGAGCACTACTCCTGTAAGCCTCTTGGAGATCTCCATCTACTCTCTGATGAGAATCAAATGAATTCCACCAATCTCCAAACCGTAATGAATAGCTGAGACCCTCTCACCTTTCTGGGATTTATCATATAAATTTAAATTTTCTATGGTATTTTTTTATACCCTCCATGTCCTACAGAACACAGTAACCTCCTTTAGAGAATTCATCCTGTCCCTGATACTTCAGGGAGACCTCAAACTATTCTTGGATGGAGGTTAAACTTTCTTAAAAGTTACAAAGCACATCTATACTCCAGTTGCAAAGGATGCCTACCTGCTCTCAGGATAATGCTGACAACATTGCTGGACTCCACACTGGGTCTGGGTGGCTTAATTGTCTGATGACTACTGTCCCACTCCTTACCTGCTATATTAAAATACCATTACTCTGTCACATTTAATCATTCAACATCTTGTTATTCCTGATCCTGCCTGAAACATAATCTTGCCACCTTGTCCAAGAGTCTATAATCTCTTCAGTCACCACAACTGAACCCTCATGGAGGACTGCAGATCTGACTGCTCTTACATCCTAATTGGACTGTCAATGTCTACCCAGCCATTCCATGAAAATGGACTCCGGGGCTGGAGAGGTGGGTCAGTGGTTAAGAGCATATGGTTCTCTTTCAGAGGACCAAGATTCAGTTCCCAGCATAAAGGTGGTGGCTATAAACCACCCATAATTCCAGTTCCATGGGATCTGATGTCCTCTTTTGGTCTCCATGGGCATTGTACAAACATAGTGCATTTACATACATGCAGAGCAAACATTCATACACATAAAATAAAAATAATTAATTTTTTCATGGATTCATAAACAGTAATCCCCCAGACCATTTCTAACGAATCCCTATCTAGCTGCACTTATCTCCCTTTGAAAACATTCATGGACAAACGTAACCACAAATTCAGCTTCCTGCATCTCCTCACTCTTCAGTTGAAAGCAGTTTGAGCAGATGGTGGCCACATAAGTCAGACTTCTGTTTGTATTAAAGCCACAAGCCATAAGAAAATGGCTGTTCCCATGGGGACCCTTCAATCAGGCACCTTCACTCTTCTGCTAGTAAGACAAAAAAGAACATTTTTTTCCTCAATGAATCCAATTCCATGACAAAATACAAAAACCACAAGTGGTTCACTTTCAGCACACTAGATAAAATGCTAAATAAATCCTCAATTTGACAAGGAAATGGCTCACTTGTAAAGTGCTCACCACATAATCATAAGGACAAGAAACTGGATTCAATGGATTAAGCAAAAAAGCTGGTCACAGTGCACAGGCCTTCAGTCCCAGTGGTGAAGAGGTAGAGACTACAGACTGCCTAGAGCATGCTGGGCTGCTAAGGGAATTTGTGAACTCCTTGTTCAGTGAGAGAAACTTTCCATAAAGATAGTGGAGGGGGGCATCAAGATGACTCAGTGGGTAAAAGCACTTGGCCAGCAAGCCTGGAAAATTCAGAATAATAAAATATAATATAGATTCAGTGGAAGGAGAGAACTGAGTCCACAAAGTTGTCCTCAAGCCTTCACATGTGTCATGGCAAATGTGAACCCTCCACACACGATATACACATGCATATGTTATAGTAATAAAATTTCTAAATTCAAAACATAAGGAGGAAACTGACAGATGGCATCAATCAATGTCAATCTCTGGCTTCCAAAACCACATACAGACCTTCACAGGCATCATACCTGCAGTCAGATGAACACATACAAATGCACAAGCCATGTCAATTCAATCAGCTCTGAGAATATGCGTGTGCTGAATTCTCTCCCCAGAAAGAACATACCATTTTCAGTAGCTCTTCAAATTCCCTCCCACTTCAACAAGCGACAGAGTCCTCATAGATCATGAAGAGTTCACCTGGTAGTGAGAAAATGAAGCAGCTATGGCTGCAAAACAATACTGCCTGAAGTTTGAACCCTTCTTTGCAGTGGTTTTGGTTCCCTGATTTCTTTCCTATCGCAACTCACTTCATCTAAGAATGACTCCTTTTCTGCCTAGATGTGGGCACATGCTGGAGGTTCCCACATCCCTTAGTCCCATGGGAACCGCCCCCCCCCAGTCAGCTAACTTGATCTACACATGCACCATGGCCTTCATCACACCCAACACCCAAGTTTCCCTTAATAATCATAAGCCATTTATAAGATTTCACCTAAGAACTCTGCTCACCTGACACCATTCCTATGGTACAGTGGCATCATGTGTATGTGGGCACAGGAGTGGGTGTACATAGACTGGCATCTTATGCTTATCCTACCTTGTCAGCTGAGTTAGCCATAGGAGTATAACATATCTCAGGGACCCACAAATCCCTTAATGATCAAGTTCACCCTGTTGCTATAGGACTGAAAACCACTGTGTCTCTGTTAAATGTAACAATAAAGAGAGGTAAACAAACAGTGGTCAGTCAGGAAAAGGACGGCTGACAAACTTTCCTTCAGGAATGAGATTTATGAGGAGAAAGGGCTTTGGGACCATGATCAGATCCAGAGGTCTGAGTAACAACATTAGTTAGAAAAGGGTACACTATATGGTAGAGGCCAAACATGATGAGGTCTCAAGGAGAAGGAAAGGCTTCTCTCTAAAACCTGGAGAGGGGACTGGAGAGGTCAATCAGTGGTTACTAGTGTGCACTACTCTTACAAATGACCCAAGTTCAATTCCCATCAGCCATATTAGGCCACTCACAATATGTAATTCCATTTCCCGGGGGATCTTTTTATCCTCTGAGAACCATGGACACATGCACTAATGAGTGCAAACACATACATATACACATGTATGTATACAATAAATCTTAGGAAAAAACCATAACCTGGAGAAAAGCTTGATTTAGAGTAAGAATAAGTGAGACAGACACACACACAGAGAGAGAGAGAGAGAGAGAGAGAGGAGAGAAGGAAAAGGATGGCAGTGGGAGGTCAGTGAAGCCTCTTCAAGGACAGTCCATCCAGCAATCTCACAGGACATTCACAGATTTGTCTGAGCAATCCCCAAAATAAAGGAAATACCAGACATTTCAGTTCCACATATCTTGATTCAGTACAACATGACTTACAGGACAAAAAGCATGCAGGAGCCAGGTTCCATAATTTAAGGGCTGTCAAATCACAGCACAGACTGCTTCTTAACTGTCCAGAGAGAGCAGCAGGGAGCGGCAGCAGTCAAGGTTTATTTCAGAAGGAGAGAAAGCAAACGTGGAAAGAAAGGATGCAGTGCAGAGTGTAGGGCGCACAGAGCCGAGGGGGCTGCGAGGGGCTTCCTCTACTGTGCGGACTGTATGTCCTGGGCCACATCTCTCCTCCCCTTGCCGGGACATGGGTCCAGTGATCCTGTTCCTGGAACAACTGAAGGCTTATTTTGAAGAACTTTTTACCCAAATAACAGTGTTAAATTAGATGTAAGACCAGGAAGAGAGCTGTCAAAGTCCATATTAGATGAACTTACCAAGGGAAATGGAAAAGGTGTCTGCACATGCTCCATGGAACCTGCCCTACCTGCTGTCTTTCCCCACTCCATCCCTCCTCTTCCCTAGTCAGCTTGCCTATCTCCTACCCAGCTGCAAGCCTTCTTCTTTTCCTTCCCCAGTGTTCCCAACCTTGACTTCTGATGGAGTGCCACAGCTACTGAAAAGCCAGACAACTCATGCTTCCTGCCAAGATGTTTCTCTGCTGGTCCTGCTTCCCTGTTATCAGCTAGCCACACCAAGCTAAAACAGCTTCTTTGTTCTGCTCAAGCAAGCAGCTACAGGAAGACAGCCCAAGGACCCCTTCACTCAGACCCCTTCACTCAGACTCCACAGCTGTGTATGCTCTCTTTATTTCCATCCACATAAAATCTAGAACAATCTTTCATTTTGCACCACCTCGCTGAATAGATATTATTAAGTCTGCAAAAGGACCTGGCTTTGGTCTGTTGTACCTCATCCACTGGACCCCAAAAAGACCACCGAGGACCCAACACAGCAAAATGCAAAAGCAAAGGTTTATGGTTTATTCGTGCTTAAGCTCGGGCTCTCAGACCTCACCAACTCAACAGATCCATGCTGAGAGCCCAGAGTAAGGGAGAGTGGAGCCTTTTATAGGTTTTAGACAAAGAAGTGGAGGGGATACCGAAGATACATTTTGGTTGGATCAAGGAGCCCGCGGGGGCTTATACTGATTGGATGTATAAGATGCAGCCCTTGAAGTTTCTTATTGGTAGGTGCTATTCTCAGGGCTGTGGAATGTGCTGTTACCTGTGGGGCCAGGAGTCTCCGTTTTTACCTTATAGGGCAGTTTTTATGCATGGGCTTGCTTATAGTTTCCTGGAAGGGGGGTGGGGAACAGCAGGCGGGGGTCAGGGCATGCCAGGGTATGTCTAGGCATGTCTAAAGCAGCAACCAAGCATTTTACAGAAGCTAAAAGAGCAATTAGTGGGGGTCTGGAGGGATTGCGGGGTAACGGGTGAATGAAGAGGGTCTCAGGGTTCTACAGGTCCTTTATCTAAAATTTTTTCCTTCTTTGCTCCTCAAAATCTAACTACATGGAGACTCTACTGTTCACTTCCCCTAACACTTGTCCACACAGCACAACAGCACGATCCCCTGCTGTGGACAGTCCCAACCCTGAAGCTGCTACCCGCAGATGGAGCCTCCCGCTCAGTGCTGGGCACAGAAGCAGCTGCATCAGGAAATGCCACAGGCTGCCGCACCGGGAACCTGGTTGCTGGGATGTACAGGATGCCGTCAGGCTGCCGCCCGCCCGGGGAGGACCCAGCACAGCACAGCCCGCTCTGGCGGCTCCAGCAGCCGCTGCTTCCGTCTGCACACACGGGCCCCGCGCTCACCATGGCCCGGCCTCCGGCTTTGCCACCCCCCCACCAGCTGCCCTCAGTGCACTGAAGGCGCAGCACCCGCGTGCATTTTCCAGCTACGGAGCCAAACCACAGCGCATTAACCACAGCATGGCGGCCATATAGAGCCTGCCTCCGCAACCAGTGTTTGTTCCTGATTGGACAGCTCCGCCAGAAGCCCTGATTGGTTAGGGCCACCTCTGAAGCCTAAGTGATAGGAGGAGTTATAATGATGGAGAAGCACAGGTCTTCCTAGCTTGTCCCTGAACAGATGCTGCCCAACGTCAGGGAAATTAGCATCCAAGCAGAACTTGCTTGAACTGTCAGAGCAGGTATTGATGTTTTGCTAAAGCATAACTTTCACTTCAAAGGGGATAAGAGATAGTTTATTCTGGAGCCAAGTAAGAGTGACCATGACCCAGAAACACAGATTCAAGTTACCCCAATTTCCATTTTCCAGCATGGTAACAGTTAAAATTTTATAGTAACAGGACAAAGAAAAGTCATAAATCAAGACACTTTTCAAATAAATCGATGGATACATTCATTAGGCTGGTCATAGCAAAGGGGGACCAAGGTGTTCTACTAATAGGTCTCAGATGCTATCTGATGATGGTCTTGATTGGTGAGAGCTGGTGGTCTACTGAGTTAATATATATATTAGTCACAAGAATGTTAATTCAGAAACAGAGGGAGATAAAGTGTGGCTATTTGTGGAGTTAAAGATATCCCATTTAATTTGTGAATAGGCTCTGGATCTGTAACATTACAAAATCTCCAGTCACTGAAGTGTACATCAGTTGGTCAGCCTTGCAGGAAATTCAGCTCAGGATGCAGGCGTTCTTTCTAGGAACTTTCTTTCACAGTTCCCCCCTATTGGGTAAGCATCACGTTTTGTGCATGTAGGTGCCATGTGTTATTTATTTCCAGGTCATAGAATCTGATGTGGATGAGGCTCAGTTGTAGACAAGATTGCAGTCTTCAAGAGAGAGGAATAGCTACCTGGTAGAACCAATAAGAAAGAAACTCCTGGATCATATCAAAACTATTAGCCAACATGATCTGGATTTTTCTTTTCTTTTGTCCTCTGTATCTGATGAAGCATTTGTGTGTGACATATAATAGGATGATTATACTTAACCTACAGCATTGCTTGGCCTAATGGAGTAAAAGTAACAGATGAAGGCAACAAACATTAAAATAAAAATGAAATTGACTATGTTTCCCCATGTATTTCCAGTTATCTGTAAACTATGAACTACTTTATTTATATTTGAAATATTTAACTAAATCTACTGTTTTCTTACATTTGGTTTGCTTTGGATCAGTTAGACCTTATAGCTATAACCTCATGGAGTGGCTAGCTCTAACTCTAGTGGTTCTTATCTGTGGATAATGACCTTTATCTATTTTACTATATCGGTATCATACCAGATTTAGTTTGAAAATATACATGTAACATATTATAGAAGAAATTACACAATAACACATTATTCTTTAAACTGTCTTTTAACAAGAATGTCTTCATTTACATAACAAATATTAATGACTTTGATAGAAACAAGAGATCAAACCTTTTAGGAAATTGGAATTTTATAGGCCTTAAAGGCTTAACCAGCTACCGCTTTAAAATATTTTAATGATTAGAAATGAAAATAGGAGTCCAGATGGAGTCATTGTAGTGCTATCCATTTCCTTAGTCAAATATAGACATTGCTTAATCATTTTTATCACAGATAATTGTACTATATAGGACAACATAGATGCTCATTTAATGAAGGAACATCAGAACTAAACTATAAAATATCATGAATATGTTGTTATTAGAGTGATGTCTTGTATAATTTAGAAAAAAAGAATAAACCCAAATCCCTAGTATTTACATCTAGGGAAAAATAAGGTGTAATTACTTGTTAAACATTGGAATACATTTTAGGGCCCTTGTAGTTTAATTGGTTGGACTTCGTTAATATACATATATGTGTGCTATATATATGCTATAGATATTTACACAAATTTAAATTTGAAAACGACTTTTTATCCAAATTATACCGAATAATTAGGAAAATATAAATATATTGTTACAAAGAGTGAAAATACTTAATCTTTTAAACATGAAAACTGTGAGTAAGGGTGGCATTCTGGGTAAGCATTTATAACTTAATTTAACTCCAAATTTGCATTATTTTATCATTTAGGAATATACTAAGTGGAATATTAGATGTTAGAAACTATTTAAAACAGTTTAATTAAAAAAGTTTAAGGAATAAAACAATGAGAGAAATGTTCAGTTACTTGGGGGTACTTGATTGTCAATTAATTGAAGATGAGTCTCATCCAACATCTCTGAAGTCCACATAGATAATCTCTTAGATGAAGGTGGCACATAAGACTCTTAAAGTTCATCTTCTTGAATTTTGTAGGACAGGTGTAGGTTAGCAGTACCTGGGTGCAGTATTTACTCTCCAGTTAAATGGAGTGTTTGATGTGATGCTTCATTTTTCAGTTGATGAAATCCTCTGATTTTCTTTATCCTTTAAGGAAGATTCTGCAACTAATTCTGAATTTTTAATAATCATATTTAAAAGTCCTTGTTTTTCTAAGCAAAGTAACATTTAAGAAAACTTCTTTCGTTGTGATTAATATTAACATTAATTTTACCTCAGGGCATTGAATTTTGCCCTTAAAATTTATTATTATCAACCTAGTTATAATTCTACTAGCTTTAAGTTTAATTTTCTTATTTTTCTACAATATGCTAATTAATTTTTTAACATTACGTTTATCCATTTCTATTTGGAGCGATATTTTATAGTATAAATCCAAAAGTTTTTTTAAACCTTCCTTTGCCAAAGAAACAGCAGCAACAACAAAACATCTCATATTTATAACCTTTTTATCTCTATTTTTATAATTCTACTAGCTTTAAGTTTAATTTTCTTATTTTTCTACAATATGCTAATTAATTTTTTAACATTACTTTTATCCATTTCTATTTGGAGCGATATTTTATAGTATAAATCCAAAAGTTTTTTTAAACCTTCCTTTGCCAAAGAAACAGCAGCAACAACAAAACATCTCATATTTATAACCTTTTTATCTCTATTTTTTTTACCTTGATTGTTGCTTTTACATCTGCATATAATTTTAGAAAACATTTAAATAAGTTTAAATGAAAATCCAGGAGGCTATATCCAAAATATAGGAAACATATGTATGGTTTCTTAAATATCTAACAGGAAAAACATACAATAGTCTTGCTTTTTTTTTCCTTAACCAATTTAAACTAATTATTTGTTAAAGATAAATCATGGCAACAGGCATTTTTGAAATTATTTTTGTTAAAAAGCATTCACTTCTCATTAGGGTTTGAGGTGTCCAGAAGATCAAATTTTGTCATTTGACCTTTATTTATTGCCACCTGTTTACAATTAATAGTAACTATATTAATCATTTAACAAGGATTTAACTATACTATATTTTTAAATTTTAAAGATGAACAATTATCTCAAATATATTATTATAATGTAACACATTAAGATTAGTTATAAAGTTTAAGAAGTCTTAAACTTACCTCCGGCAACATAAGCAGAACCGCTAGGCTTTAGCGGGCCTAAGGAGGAGGCCCTCCTGGCGGCTGGCAGGCTGATGGGGAAGAGGACAAGCAGGCTGTGAGATGGGGTGATGGTGGACTGGTCTGGAGGGCACCAGGACTGATAGAGGCTCTGCGCCACTGGTCCTGCGGCGAGGCTGGGTGAGAACAGACCGGCTCTGGAGGAGCAGGGGAAGGGGGTCTCTCCATCTGAGAGAACCGGGGGGAGGGGACGGAGAGCGTTGCGGGGTAGGGCTGGAAACCATGAGAAGCTAGCAACAGGCGCTGGGACCAGGAAACGGAAGAATCAGAGGTCTGACTAAGTAGCTGACAGGGTCAGTGGAAGTGGAAGGAGAGTGAAGTGTGGCCGGATCCAAGGGCCCAGAGAAGAGGTTCTGCAGAAGTGCATAGAGGAGAGAAGGAAAGCCGTGGAAGTGGCCAGGCCTGGAACCAGGGCAGTGGCCAGAGGTGATAGGAAGGGAGCTGAGCCGAGCTCAAACCTGAGAGTGCTTGGAAATTGGAAGACTTGGTGGCAAAGGAAAGTCAGAAGCCTGAGTCGGGATGTGGGATCAGAGGCTGATCAGGCTGGCCTTGCTGCAACAGCTTTGAGTTGTCTATGGCATTAAGGTCAAGGGTGGCCGGGACAGTGCAATCGCAGGAGACGACAGACGCCAGCCTCGGGAGTACGGTGTAAAATATTTGGAGTACTATTTAATGCATTGCTCCATTCCGTTGTACCCAAATATGGGTACATACCAAGCTTTCTTGTTGATGCCTTTGTGTCTTTGGAAGAGCATATTCATACAGAAGGGCTTTTCAGGAAATCAGGGTCTGTCATTCGTCTAAAGGCACTAAAGAACAAAGTGGATCGTCGTGAGGGTTGCCTGTATTCTGCACTTCCTAGTGATGTTGCTGGAATTCTAAAGCAGTTCTTTAGAGAACTGCCTGAGCCTATTCTCCCAGATTTGCATGAAGCACTTTTCAAAGCTCAACAGTTCAGAACAAAGAGTAGAGCTACATTGTTACTGTCCTGTCTCGTGGCAGATCACACAGTTGATATATTAAGATACTTCTTTAACTTTCTCCGGAATGTTTAAGATGGACAGCAGCAATCTTGCAGTCAGATTTGCACCAAATCTTCTTCAGACAAGTAAAGGACGTGAGAAGATTCTGCAAACACAGAGAAAAAGCTCCGATTACGGGCAGCAGTAGTACAGATTCTTATTAATTGTGCATCAGATATTGGGGGTGTGCCAGATTTTATACTGGAAAAGATACATTATGTTAGGTGTTGATGGTCTCTGTGCTATTCCATCACAGGAAGGCTTTGAAAACGGTGACTATGAAACTCCTGGTGAATGTAAGAGAAAGTGAAGACAAAGTGTTGGAGATTTTGTTAATGGAGCCCTAAATAAACTTAAATCTAGCAGAAAGCCATCTCTTACACCTTAGCAGGATAGAATAGCGCAGAGGTGTACATCACCAGTGATTCTTACTCCAAGTTCGAAGTGTAAATTGCTAGTAGATTCTTCTTAGGCTTTCTCAAGTAAGAAGGGGAAGTCTATCAAATAAAATTGAACTTTGAGCTGTTTCCAAATCATCTCTTTAGCAGCAATTCTACATCAGCATCAGTTCACTGTTATGCAAGCCCAGAAGGTTCTTCTCAGAGTCTACTCTCTTGTAGCCAACAGTGGGAACCATTTGATGAGCATAGAGCTATGGTGAGGTAAAAGGATTGTCAGCAAAAAAGTTTATATGTTAGAATCTGGAAAAGCAGGCTGCTTCTCTCCTAAAGTCAATCATAAAGAAAAGGTCAAGATCTCTTCCTCCTAATTTTAGTCTGGGGAAAAAATAGAGATTCAAATGTATGTTCTGGCATCAACAGATATGAACATGTTGGTCGGCAACTAGCAAATCCAGAAAGTTTTAAAGCTAGGATTGAATCTGTATAAAAAGACCTGCATTTTAGCCCAGATATTGATGAAAGATTATCAAAGAAAGGCTCAGAAAAGATGAATAAGTCTGAGGAAAACTTATTAACTCCCAATCGACTAGATCGAGCAGGTTACCAGATGTCTGGGACAGAATCCAGTAATTCAAGTTTTCAAGATATGGATGTAACTGAACCTTCTTCAATAATGAAAAATCTTGAGGTGGAAAACTTTTCTTTGGAGCCAGTTATCACTGTTAAGAAGTTTCCAGCTGTGTCGTGTGATTTCTGCCCCTCTACTTTGTACAGACAACCTCACAGCAGTGTCCTAGGAGACACTCCCTTAGTGGAGATGAAAGTAACATGGCCTCTGAGACCTTGGTAAAGATTCAGAAAGCATTTTCTGAGTCTGGGAATGATCTTCACACATTGATAAATCACAAGTAGACATCAAAAATCAGTAAAGGTGAAGAAAGAGAAACACCTTATGAAAAATATAGCCCGGAGAAAAGTTCTGTTTGAAGCTAATGATTTGATTATGAGAAAAATCAAAGGAAAATGATGAAAGTACACTGGTGAAGATGAATGTGTTTTAGAAAGAGACTTCTCACCACATCAAAGTCCAAAAACTTGGTAGAAAAGCAATTGTAGAATGTTACTCAACTCAAATGAAGGTGGGCTTTGAAAAAGACATCCATTCAGATATACCAAGTGATGATTTAAGCCAGCAAAAACTCCCCAGTGATGGACAATCAAAGGAACAGCCGTCCCCAGGGGGTAAACTAAATGCTCAGTCAAAGGAGAATGAGAATGTGATGGAAGAGAACTTAGTGGCATGTGAAGGTCCTGGGGAAGGTGAGGCTAAGTCCTCTTCCCTATAGCAGAGTGCATGCCTTGTAACAGTCATTTCAAAGCCTACATCTGAGAGAATTGTTACACAACAGTCACTGGTGGAGAAATTGTGATAAACCAGGTCCTGGAAGTTTACAACTGACAGAGCATGTCAAAGTTTCAGATCACATACAGTAGTTTAATAAGCTTTCTCTAAATGTCCTGAACCAAACAGAACAAAAGTGAAGTCACCTTTTAAATTTCAGTGCACTCCTGTCCGTCAGTCTGTCAGAAGAATAAAGACCTTGTTGACGTATGGTAGACAACCTATGAGCCAGAAATTGGCAGTCTTTGGTGATACAGCTTCTCCTCTGGTTAAGTCAGTGAGCTGAGATAGTGGTCTTCCCTTTTGTGTAGAAAATACATAAACCAAACCAAAACAAAGCAAAAAAACCTCCGTTTCATTTACTAAATCAGGTCCTAAAGAACAGATAAGTCAAATGATGCAGTTTCAAAACCAAGCGTGGGGTTAACTTCAAAGTCTTTCTCAAATATGAAGAGATACCCAGATCCTGTGCATGCTTCTCTTGGATCTAGTAGACATTGTAAACAAGCGAGCAAATCTGATGGCCAAGTTAAGGTTTCTTTGGATGATCTGACTAATCATGATATATTAAAATGTGTTGTAAATAACAATGTAGGCTTTTCTCCTAGCATAAAAATGAGAGTCCTAAGGAAGCTGTTAGAAAAGGAAAGGGTCTGGGTACAAAGGGTCTCCCCAAAATCCTATTGGAATGACTCAACTACTACCAACAAATAAACCTGTAGATGTGTAACTGACCTATAGACTTGTCATTAATGTAAATAACATTAGCACTTGGTGAAGTGACTTGCAGGAGGATCTATGTGTATATCTATCTGCAGCTCGGGAGGCTCGTCAAGCAGTAGCTTTTCTCTGAAGCAGTTTCATTGCAGGGGCAGCTTGAATTTTTACACTTGTACCTATGACTGTTTTGTTTCTCTTCATTACTACAGCATATATACTTTAATGTGATCTTAAAGCATGTGTTAGACCTTCCTGTTTTAAAGAAATCACTGACTAGATTTATTAAAAAATAATTTTGAAAATTATGTGATTGTTTTGTATGCATGATAGGAAAAGGACAGGAATTTGTACCTACCTGTTTCTTATTATTCCTCGAAGTCACATACATTTTCTATTGCAGATCTGTACTGTATAAAGAGAAGGGATAAACCCCACAAATTTTTGTCTTAAATTATATTCATGTTTGTTGTCTTTACCAAAATCCTGGAAGTTAATTTGCCCCAATGGCATCCTAATACTTCTGTTTGGGACAGGGACATTTAGTTAGTATCTGATTTCATGTGCTTCTGAACAGTGGATAAAGCAGATTGATGACTAAAGTGTGTTTGTATATTATAATTGAGAAATAATTGATTATTTTTAAGCCATACTGTTTTTAAAGGTAATTTGCTCAAATACATTTTGATCTCTTTTGTCCAATATGGAAATGAAATTTTTAAGGAGGAATAATTTAACTTGGGAATTTTAATCAAGGTGGTTTTATTCTATGAAGTGTTTGTGTTTAGAATTTGAATTGCTAATGTACATATAAATATTTTACTTAGATAAAAATCTGATAGTCTTATCATGTGCTTAAATGTTATTTATTGGGGCTGGAGAGATGGCTCAGTGGTTAAGAACACTGACTGTTCTTGCAGAAGACCTGGGTTTGAATCCCAGCACCCACATGGCAGCTAAAAACTGTCCATAACTCCAGTTCCAGGGGATCCGACAGCCTCTTCTGTCCTCCGTGGGCATTGCACAACATGGGTGCACTTACCTACATGTAGGCAATACACACATATACATAAAATAATAAATAAAATATTAAAAGCTGTTATTTATTTAGCATAGGCATTAAAAATAACATCTGAAAAAAGAAGGCTTAAAGTTTTTAAGCAGGTATTTTTAAATGGTCAATTTTTAAAAAGTGTTTATAGCTGTTTTTACATAGATTTGACAAAGATATGTACCTTTTCAAACTTGTTGGTTGGCTTTAAAGAGGCAGTAATTATCAAAGAAAAATGTCCCAAAATGCTCATATTAATAATACATAACATACATACAGAATACATCTAAAAACAGAGACAAGTGATCTTTCTTAATCCTTGGAATAAAGAGTTTAGCATATTAGGAGAACATGTTATAGAACCAGAACTGAGATAAGGATCAAGGTGATAACATCTTGTCCAGACTTTAGTATATCTTGTCTTTAAAAGATTCTTTAAATATTTAAACCTAAAAACTCATGTTAAGATCTAGATTTTTTAAAATATAGGACCATTAGCCACTTCTACTTCTTTTGCCAAAGTGGTCACATTGATGTAATATCTTCATTGGCATACGGGACATGTGGCAAGCTAACTTATGTCTGTTGGAGTTGGGACTTTTCCCGTAAAATTTTACTTTTACTGTGAACCAAATGAAGTCGGGCAAACTTAACAACATCAGTTTAGATGAGTGCTTACCTATAAGTCAATTTGATAACAAGTAAAATATATATTTTTTAAACATAAGCTCATGTAGACAGTGCATTTACATGCAGTTATACATAACAGAATATATCTTGTGTAATTTTCATTATGAAAAGGAAACTTAACAAAAGATCTTTAGAAAATAGAGACATGCACATATTGTTTTACTTGTAGTCTAGCTTTAACAAATCCTTACATTTAGCAGTTTCATGTTAAGAAATATTTTTGAAAGAAAAACGATTGTTACCTCTTACTATTACACAATTTAAATAAATCTATCATCTATCTATTTATCATCTATCTATCTACCATCTATCTATCTGTCATCATCTATCTATCTATCTATCCATAAAATCTGTTTTGGGAGGAAATCTTATTCAAAATCTATGTATGCAACATTAGATTTTATAGCTTACTGAAATATTTATCTTATAATTCTAATGAATGTCATTTTGTATAAATAGAATTTAAAGGCTTTGTGAAACACTTAATAGACCCAAAGATATTGTTTAACGGGTTTTTTAGATCTTTAGAGTACTCAAGTATATAAAGCAGTACATATTTATCATGCCTTTTAATACATTAGCAAATACATTTATAAAACTGCATATGTGCATTTTGACCTTGTACACCCCCCAAAATTAAAAATAATATTTCTATACATAAAAAATAGTGAGAAAGGAAAAAACTGAAGTGGCCACAGTTTAAAATACTGTCTTGAAACAAAACATGACACAATTATGTGTAATCTGGGTGTACCAAAGAGTAGAAGGCAGAAGGCTTCTATCTCTACCTCTTTAATATGAATAATGGCTTAGTGGCATAAAAGAGTAAAGTTTGCCATGTAAACTTTAGGTAATATCTCTTTCCCTTTTAAAGAGCCAAATAACTGATGGGTGTTATAAATAAAACCCAAGATCTAAGAACCCTATCAATACGTCACAAAGACTACGTGGACAAAGCAACAGTAATGTGGCAAAGCAGATTTTACTTTTGCATAAGGGTGCATTGTAAGGTCAGTCAGATCCAGTTTAAAAGAATCAGTTTAAAGAGAGAGGTACCCAGCTGCCCCAGGCCATCAGGTTCAGGAATGCATCAGGGCCGTCCCTTAAACAAA